TTTTTTTACTAAAATTTTAGATTAAAAAAAAAAAAAAATACATTTATAGAAGTTACCCAATTGTTACCAATAAGTTTGATAGAAAAGTTTCTTCTTTTTTTTTTTTTTCCACAAAATAAATGTAACCGATATCAGCACATGTTCGATCACGTTTTTCGATGTTATAGGAATGTCATCATGAACTATTGATTTAATCACGACCCAGTGGGGAAAAAAAAAAATGTAAAGGTGTGAGATTTGGTGAACGTTGGTTGAGGTTATCGAATATTTGCAACACGATCCATCATTGGGAAAAATTTGTACTTTAATACTCGACAGATTATTGATGCATTGTGCGAACCGGACATCCGTTATTTTCAAAATCATATTCGATATCTTTGAGGTATGAAAATGTCTTCGTAAAATTCACATTTTATACAATTTTTTTTCTTCTTCTATTTAAAGACACGTTAGGGTGGGTATAAGTATCGTGTGGTAATTTTTGGCTTAAATTTATTGTTTATTTTTTATTTTTTATTTTTATAAATATTTGTAGCGTTAATGGAATATTGTAAAATATGAAGAAAAGATTTTTATAATGGATTTATCCTGTGTGTGTGTGTGTTGCATTAACGTTCTCGAAGGATACTTCAGATGGTCGCGTGCTTCGTCACGATTCTGTTTAAGGCATCGTAAAACACAAGCGTGAGAGAAACGTGTTGTAATACGTGTGTGAATGGCAAATATGTGAACGTAGTGGGATATTACACGAGTTATACATATACAGAATATCTGATTTAACTTGACCATCGAAAAAATCTTTTCTGTGTGTTTTTGACGATAAAAATATTTAAAAATAAAAGCAGCAAGAGGTAAGGAAATAATATAATTCAAACAATATATAATTATTAAAACATATATTCGATGAATTCAATAAATAAATAAATAAAATCATTTTTATATATTTATAAAATGTTTGCATTGTAATATTAAATTCAACTTAATTTAATATTGCATTAATATAAAAAAAAAGAAGAAAATAAGTACATGAATGATTTGTATATTTCAAACAATAATAAGCGCGTAATCATTACCTAGCATCATATTCACTTATTTTATATCCGCGTGATTATGTTCTAAAACATATTTCTCTGTCCGTGGAAAATAAGGAAGATATTCAAGGTTGTCAACTTAAATGGAACACTCTCGCTTCCCCCTTCCCTCCTTCCCTCCTTCCCATTCCCATTCCCATTCCTCTATTTTCTATACATGTACATATTACTCACCTATGCAGTTACGTATTTAGATTTAGTCGCATAATCGTAGGGGGGTAATAGAACTATAACACACACTAAGATGCACCTTGGTGGTACACACACGGTTGTTTTACTTGCGTGCACAACGTTACGTTTGTTTATAAAGTGTTGTTGCACGTACGTGTTTGCGGAGTGCAGCGAGTTAATGTCACAAGATTAAATTGAGCTTTGCAAGGGTCCTTGCAAAAGCGTCTCGTAGAGAGAGAGAGAGAGAGAGAGAGAGAGAGGGAGAAAGAGATAAAGAGAAAATAACCGTACGCAAAGTAAACGACCTCTTTCATGCACGTGAGAAGCAAGCAGTCGTAAGATCGAAATCGTTCGAAGCCATTCGAGAAATTACGTAGCAGCAAGTTTCCTTCCTCCCATCGTGTTATGGCCTCGCTTCCGTTTCTCTGAAATCCGCTGATATAAGAACGACGAACGACTTATATGGTGTCGGTTAAATTTTTTTTTCTTTTCTTTGTCGTCGTCATACATCATCGTCACGCTCGAGTGAATTTCACGGAGGAGACGACGTGTGCGATCGTTCATTGATAAAAAAAATGAAGAAATTTCTTTTTTTTTCTTCTTCTTCTTCTTCTTCTTTATAAAAACAAATGTACAAAATTTATTGATATTATTTGATAATCTTTCGTACGTATATGCACGCACGCACGCACGCACGCGTATTCCAATAGTTTAATACACACGTACGTACACTATTGACATTTCGATGATCTTCACTTAATACTTTTTAACGTAGAATAAAAAAAAGGAATCGAACAGTGTAAAAAAAAAAAAAAATGCAACTGCATCTAGCAGGTGCATCAATGGATTTTCAAAAAAAAANAAAAAAAAGGACGGTCATAGAAAGTTGACATTTGTTTGTGCCATTGAACTTTTTCTCCGTTCCAAGAATCATCCTGTATATTAATTATGCAATAATTTATATTTGTTATAATAATTCGATAATAATCTTTTAGATCGTAAATGCTTTTTATTGATTAAATCGCACGTAAAATGTGTTTCGATACGTTAAGTAACACCGATCGACTCGTAATGAGCAAATTTATTTTAATCGTATCGCGTATACGTTTATCAGTGATTTGTTGTACGATTGAATTGGATGCTTAATGAGGGTTACTTGCTCGTTTGGAAATGAACAAAATAATCGGATGAGGGGTAGACATTTTTTGTGTCTTTTTTTTTTTTCTCTCTCTCTCTCTTCCTATACCATGTTGTCGTACCACTTATACTACTACGCGAAGGATCGGAAAAACTGTCAGAAACAGAGGATGAAGAAGAAGAGGAAGATGAAGAAGAAGAAGAAGAAGAAGAAGTCGAAAGGTAGGAGTCGTGATAGATTTAGAAACGAAATGTCAATAGCAGAGAGAGTTTGACAGATTTGCGTATTACTTAGACGGAACTGTCAAAATCATTGGGAACATTGCAATATTATTCATGGTAACTTTGTCAAAAGTTTATACAAATGAAATGTAATTTTTCTCTTTTCTTTTCTATGTTTAAAAATGACTAGATATATAGTAAAAGAGTTGATAGAATGAATAAACTTTGTTTCTTCTTTTGCAATGTTTAAACGTTCGTTCTGCCATATCCTAGTTGATCCATCATCTTTGTTTTAAATCCTTTCAATTTTATATGATTAATCATCTTTTATTTTTAACATAATCTATATTTGAAGTTAAATACTTAATAGGTAAATTCATAAATGATCAAGATACCAAATAAAGTCACATTAAATCTTTTTCTTATCACGAAGTTTTTACAAGAACACCTTTTGCAATTTTATTCTCCTATCGTTCGTACAAAACACTTGCATTTTTTTCATTAATTTTCTTTTTATTTTGATACTAAACATTTGTCAAAAAATTCCACTAATTTGTGTTTTCGAAACCGTGGGTTAGAGTTCGTCGATTTTTATTTTCACATTGGTATATCTCTTGGTATTTACTGTTATATATATATATGCATATGTATACAACTAATATGCATACGCACGAACTCATAATATTTGTATTGCGTGATGCATACATTTGTAAGGAAGTATATGTAACGTGATTGATTGGAAATTATGCGAAATTTCCTCTAGTAGATGGATTCGATCCAAGTTATTTTGTTCTTATCTTACTTTAAACACATTATTTCATTTTTGAATATAATTATACGATCTATTTTCTTTGTTTTTTTCTTTTTTTCGTTTTATTAATTTATTTGACTCCTAATAAAAATTTAGTCTCTCGCATCATTTTACATTTTATAAACGGATACTTCAGACGATACCGAGCCACCTTTTTGTGTTTACCTCATCATTTGTTTTATCATCACATTAAAAATGATAAATAATCAAAGACATGTAAATTTTCAAATTGATAAAAACATCATTGAACCAATGAAGTTTCTCACTCGTATCCGATACCGCATCATATTCATAAAAATTGAACAATTATTTTACCAACTTAAAATGGTATTATGTTTTTTTTTTTTTTTTTTTTTACAAAATTTGAAAATGCATCGAATATCTTCGTTCGTTCGTTCGTTCGTTCGTTCGTTCGTTCGTTCGTTCATTTTCAAGACGCAATAACTTTTGACTGAATAAATTTGTTTAAAATTACTCTGTGTGATATATCAGTTTTCCACTGTACGCAAGTTTCGTCGGATTCGATTAAAATTATCAAAGTTATGGGATCTTAAATCTACTTACCAGAACAATACGAACAAAACTTTTTACTCGATCCCAACTTTGTTACATAAATATATTCTACGTATATATATATATATATTTTAAAATATATACAGGTTCTATTAATAATGTAGGAATATTCGTAAAGATGTCTTCTCGTGTACATAAGAGGAAAGGAAGGAAGGAAGGTAGGAAGGTAGGAAGGTAGGAAGGTAGGAAGGAAAAGGATGGAAAAAAGAATAAAAGTAGGTAAACACATATGAGGAGAGGAAAAAAGGGGTGTTGGTAGAATGGTTGCTCGTATATGCGAGATTTAGTAGCAAAGAAGAAAGCGGAAGTGGTGTTGGTCGAGAAAGAGAGAGAGAGAGAGAGAACAAGGAAGAAAGATCCTTTTCGAGGAGATTTAATATCAGATAAGATTGAGATGAGAGAGAGAGAGAGAGAGAGAGAGAGAGAAAGAGAGGAATGATGGTAGAAGGGAAGAGGTCGGAAGTAAACACAGAGTGGAGGGTTTAAAAGAGAGAAAGGAATTTGTATTTTGTCACCCTTGAACGTATGCATAGCTAAAACCGGTACGATACGACGGTACGTGCATATATCCGGTAACACAACGACGACGATGCCTTAGGGACGGCTAAATTTTAACAAGCGTTCTATGTGTGGTGTGGGATTAGGCGTGCGCACGCGTTACTTTAGTTTACTTTCTTTTTGGAGGCCTAAAAGCAGATACGCGGACCGGACATACATTCAAATTCAAGTAAAACTTGACACTTTTTTCTTCTCCTCCTCCTCCTCCTCCTCCTCCCTTTTTTTTTATTTAATTTTTTTTGTTTGACTTTTTATGATTTAAAATCGATTTAAAATTAAACGTTTACGGGGTTTGGTCTTATCTAAAATAAACTTTGCGTGCGTGTCAATCTAAGGTGGTGGTCCGGTCGAGAGAAGAGAAGATTTGTACGTTGTGTAGAAAGTACACATTTTCAGTTGACATTATGGATTTATTTATCGCTTATCTTACCTTACAGGCGGGATCTCGCGGTGATCGGAAAGAGGGGGGCAAGAGGGGACGTAAGCCTGGAAGGAAGGCGTCCGACAAGGTGGACATGAAAACCAAGCTCGGTAAGATCGGTTTAACATTTTCCTAGTACCTAGCCGTCTTCTACACTTTCACGCACATTTATATATTACCATATACATATTTTCTTTAACATGTGAACAATGTTTCAGAAATTAATAAATTACTTATTTATTTCTTTTCTTTTCTTTTTTTTTTTTATGCAACAATTTTATTATTCATGATGATTTTTATTCGTTCAAAGGATCGCAATTTTGATAAAAGGGTCAATGTAAATGGATTTTGGAGGATCATGGAAAAGAAAAAAAAGAAAAAGTAAATGTGATGAACGTGTCATCGGTAGTTGGTTGTAAAATAGAAGAATTTAAAGAATTCTTAAAACGTTCACGGTTAACACTGATTGCAATTGCAATGTTACGAGAAAGAAAGGGAAAAAAGAAAAAGGGAACAAGAATAATGGAAAGAAAAAGTTAAGTCCTTTAGCTCGAGGAGGAGACCGCTAGGAATATTTATCTCTTTTGGTGATGAATATTTATACCAGATCAAGATTCATCGCGGTGGTGGTAGGTAGAAAGAAGAGATGGTAAAAGGATAGAAAAGGAAGAAACTGTTGTCTTCTTATGTTGTCTTCGATGTCAGCAGCAACAGCAGTAGTAGCAGTGGTACTCTTTAGATTGGTGAAGGGGGGGGGGTGTTGGTGAAGATACAACAGTCACTGGCTGCTATTGCTATTGCTGTTGGGGCTTTAAAAGGGTGTATTTTGCAATTGCACTATTTTGCCAGGACGGTTAGGTCAGGATAAAAGGTGCCGTGGAAAAACTAGAAAGATAGAACGAAGGAAGGAAGGAAGGAAGGAAGGAAGGAAAAGACCAACCTTGGTATACTCTGGTATTAGCGTTGTCCTTGTTCTTCTTCTTCTTGTGTTGTGTCTTACGCTCGGTGCTTTTATATTAGTGTGAGAGAAAGAAATAGTGAGAAGGAGATAGAGAGAAGTGGAGGGGAGGGGGCGGGGAGGGGAGAGGGGACCAGAGGGACCCTGTGGACCATGGCACCGAGTAATTTCCCAAGATTATTTCTGCTACGCGTACTTCTCTTATTTCCGGAGGAAACTTTATAATCACGCTCCACTCTCATCTTTCGTTCCTTCATTCTCTATTTTTTTTTTTTTTTTACTTTTCCTCTATTAGTATTGCTCCTTTTCTGTTTTTGTTGTTTTTTTTTTAATTTCTTTTTTTTTATCCACGTTATCGCACTCTTTTTGTGGCTTCCTCTTCCTCTCTCTCTCTCTCTCTCTCTCTGTTTCTTTTTTTTCTTTTTCTTATTTTAGTCTTCTTGTGGTTGATCTCTCCACAATGAACGTCCACGTATAATAAAAGGAATAGCATGTTCTTTTTAATGTTTTTCTTATCGTTGATTTCAAGTTCTCGTCACTTTTATACGACTCCTACTCTCTTTATATTTAGTTTTCTTACTTTAGTTTTGTTCTTTTATTCGTTGTTTCTTTTTTACTCTATCTATCTATCTATTTCTCTCTCTCTCTCTCTCTCTCTCTCTCTCTCTCGTTCATCTTATTCCTTTCTCTTAAGTTTCCTCATGAAGTTGAACAGAAAAAAGGACGCTAGAATTGGTTTGCGAACTTTAAGCTCGGTTTACGACTTTGGTATTCGTGCCACGTAATTGTCTCTCTCTCTCTCTCTCTCTCCCTCTCTTTCGTTGTCTTTTTCAGAGAAAATGTATAAAAAGTATTTAGATACTTATTCGTTAACTTTTTCTATATATTTTTATACGACATTACGAACAAGAAAAATAATAAAATGTCGATATATTTCTTTACAAGTCACACAGAAGTAAAATACTTGTGAAGTATTACAAAACTTTTTTTTATATTTTTTTATTAATAGAGAAATATATTCAAATCAATTCTCAGTGGAGAACTCTAAGTAATTTTAGTTGTTAGAAATAATGTTACAGAGATAAATGTAAACGGATATAACTGTTAGTTAAAGTATAATCATATTATTATTTAAGAAAATCTTATTTCTAGATCGGAAGGGTAGCACCTTTTTAGGGGTGCCCTGCCACGAGTTACTGTGGCTCACAATCAGTCCGATACAAACGTCTTTAAGTCAACGAATTACCTTATACCGTCATCTGTTACCGTATCTAATTATAAGTTGAGATATAAACTATCCTATCTTTCAAGTTGGATAAAACTGCACATTGTGTGGAAAATTTGATTAAAATCGGTTCAGTAGTTTAGGAGTCCATTGCGGACAAGCAACGTGACACGTAATTTATATATATAATAAATTAAAATTTTCCAGCAAATTATTTGTTAGAGGGTTCGAGTTGTTTTTCTAAAAGATTTTTGTAGCGTTCACTGAAGTTGTCTTTTCAAAATCTAAAGGGAATAAAATTGTCATTCCATATCACATAGTTTGATACCTATTTCTATATGGGTTTGATGGTTGTCGTACATACAAAGGTTTATTTACGGACTGTAAACTCGTGTATATGGGTTTCTGGTAATGAAAGTATTAACAAGATTTGTACGTGTTAATTTTTGCCATCATAGGTATAAATTCATGTGCTAGTAAAAAAAAAAAAAGAAGGAAATTGAACGCGTATAATAAGTCGTTGTATATATTTAGTCTTTTCTTGAACTCACGTCAATAGTAGTAGAAATGTGTTTTCATATGGATCTTCCGGAAAAAAAGGGTAAGAAAGAAAATGTATTATGAACTAAAACGTTTACAGTGTTATAAAAAAGTCAGGTTGGGACGTTAATATCTGTCCGTTTTCGATCATAAAGCGTTTTATTGCTATTGCACCGAGGTGAAAAAGGAATTTGCAATTTCCACTGAACGGCCGTAGTAGTCGTAGCTGTAGCCCCGTAGTCGTAGTCGTACATTCGTATCGTTGTTGAATCTCTCTATTATCTCGAAAGAGAGAAAGAAATAAAGAAAAAGAAAAAAAAAAAAAAGAAAAAGAAGGAGAATGAGTTCTCGACTGTTGCCAAATGACATCGATATCGTTATTTAAGAGATTTACAAAATTACTCTTTCTTTCATTCTTTCTTTTTTTATTTTATATGTTAGGACATTTAAAAACGTATTTCAAAATGGTATCATGTGACTTTCGTTTTCTATAAAAAAAGGGAACAAAAAGAAAAAAAGGATTTTTTAGCACACCACGTGTAGCACGCGTCCCGGGAGTAAAGGGTTAGCTAGGTCGAGTGCCAAGTAAATATCGTATTTAATGCACGATTGTGCAACTCCTTTTGAACTAGCTGATAGTTTCTACCATTATAAGCTTTCGAATGTTTCATCCATTTGTATGGTTCCTTTCATATTTTTTTATTTTATTTTATTTTATTCTTTTGCATTTTGAAAATCTACGTGTAGGAAATTGAAACGTACAATCTTGGATTATTATATACTTCATTCAGATTTGAAATGAATTTAATCGATTTTAAAACACATTTTGGGGACACTTTTATTTAATCAGACATTTATTTTTGTTCCTATGTTCGTTAATGAATATTTGTATTTGAATATTTATTCGTTATTTATATTATTTATATAACGATAACATATTTTATTTCAGATTTATTCTAAATGTTTAAAGTTTCTTATTATTAATGTGGAATATTTGCTCTTTGCAGAACGAAGTCGACAGAGTGCGAGGGAGTGCCGTGCTCGAAAAAAATTGAGATATCAGTACCTGGAAGAACTTGTGGCTGACAGAGAAAAGGCTGTCTTAGCTCTAAGAAAGGAGCTCGAAATGGTGCGTTACGTTGTGTCAGAGTTCTCTTTTTCTTTTTCTTTTTTTTTAATCCTTAATCTTATTTTACACAGGACGAAATATAAGATTATGGTAATGATAGTTTGGAAGCGTTGCGAACATCGCACGTGTATCGTTCTTCCTTCTTTTTTTTTTTTGAGTTTTCTGTTAAAAAAATAGAACAAAAAAAATGTTAATACTTTATTCTTCTTCATCGTACAACTTCGGTAGATAGGTTTAAATTTATTAGATCTCTGGGGGAAGTAAGGGGATGCTTTTTAATTACGCGAAAACTCGATCCATCTTTCGACCATATTTCTCTTACATTTTCTTTTGTCAAAGGAACCAAGCCAAGCCAAGGGATGAAGTTAAAGTCAAGCGTAAAGTCTTTGTATCGCGTCATAAATCTCTTCTGTTGAGATTTTTCGAAAAAAAAGAATAAAAAAGAAAAAAGAAAAAAGAAAAAAGAAAAGTAGAAGGACGAGAAGAATAAAAATATTAAAAAGTACGGAGAGAGACAAGAAATGTATGAAGAAGAAGAAGAAGAAGAAGATGAGGAGGGAGAAAAAAAAAAGAAAAGTAAAATTACACCTAAAACTTTCGCCGAGATTAGTTTTCGTTTATGGAATACGTTAGAGATGAGAAAAAGGAGAGGAAAAAAAGAAGGGAAGAGAAGGAGGAGGAGGAGGAGGAGGAGAAAGAGGTGATAATGCAAGAATTCTCCACGGAAATGCCATAACCTCGTAACTTTCTTTCCCATCATTTTCTCCCTTTTACCACAATCACCATTGCCATTACTTCGTTCATCTTTTTTGTGTAATTAAGTAAGTTGTAGAAGTGTAAACTCTTTTTTTTTTTATAATATCGAGCCTCCTGTTTTTTTTACCTCTTATGTTGCATTCGTTCTCTCTCTCTCTCTCTCTCTCTCTCTTTCTCTCAAAAATTATCGTTGAAAAATATTTCACCTGTTCGTAATATGACGCCAGAAACGCGAACATTCCAGTTTCATACATACGTATAGAAATACTACATGCAAATGCAAAACTTGGAATCGTAGTTTCGGTTTGGAATATTGTAAATTTAATTTCTCTCTCTCTCTCTCTTTCTCTGTCTTCCTCTCATTCCTCTATCTTTCCGGTGAAATAACGTCAACGTTAATTCGATCTGTTTTAACTAGATAACGGTATTTCATTTTACGTTCAGACCAACCCTCAACTCTCACGGATCCATCCATCCCCCTTGGAGAATTGGAACCGACAATTTAGAAAACGGTGGCGTGTAAATGCGAATCACTTTTCTCCGGGCTTACTCGCCCGTCTGTGTTTAATTTTGATCACCAAGTTGTATACTATTATATATTTATCCTTTATAAGTATGGACAACGCTTATAAATGTGATTACGTGTTTTGCAAATTAATGATACTGAATTTAAGACAGACAGACAGAATAAAATGAAATAAAGAATTGAAAGTGTAAAAAGAAATGATGAAAACGAATTAACAGAAAGAGACCAAAGAAAAAAAAAAAAAATTCTTCCATGAAATTCAAAGAAGTATCCAAGTCCTATTGATAGTCAGTCCATTTCGAAGTCCAATCTAATCCCAATGGAAGATCTTTTCTTTAGGTAAAATAGAAACGAGAATGAGATGCATTTCTTCTAACCAACGATTGTTCGATTCTAAAGAAATCAAACCTTCTAATAGTTTTTTTTATACTTGTTTAACTTGCAGTATCGTCAATGGGGACACGAATTGGATCACGGACGTATTCCCGAAGGACTACACACTATGTTGGAGCAATTGGGAAGTCTTAAGAAAGAGAAAAGCAACAGTTAAATCAGCATAGAAGATTCATTATTTTCGAACGAATGTTCGAAAAGACTTTGTCACGTTTCATTTCCTTATTTCATTTTTTTTTTTATATTTTCGTATCACCGATCGTAGTAGCCGAGTTTATATGAATATTATTTTGTACTTTTCTTTTCTTTTTGACGAATTTTCTAATTCAACGATACAAGTTGATTTTAAATCCGTGCCTTACTATTACTATTATTCTTGAATCTGTTCAATGAACATTTTGTTTTCATCGGATTTTAAGTTTTATCTTTCAACGACTCAAAGGTTATGCCTCCTTCTAGTTTTTCTAGTAAATATGTTGTTTTATTTTTTTTTTCCTCATCATAAAATCATCCCTCGACGTTAAGTGATATGGGGTGGGACCGACGAAAATCCCCTTAAGTCGGTGAGAATTACCGTAGATAATTTTGTTTTGCTTTATACGAATTTTGACGAATAATGAAATTGTTTGAGTTCTTATTTGCTCGGTTACTACGTTCGTCTTATCCCATTTTCCGCAAAGAAAGGAAACGTTGTTGTTAAGTTTCTTTTTTTGGTTTACTTCAATCCCTATCATTACAATTCCCCCCCCCCCCGTCCCAGCCCTTTTTTTCCCTACCTTTTACTCGTTTACTTCTTTCTCTCATCTCGTCGTATGAAGAAAAAGTTGTCGTGATAGTTGCAGTACTAGCAACCTTTCGTTGTTTCGTCGCACGTGCGGTTTCTTCTTTATTACGTGACGTGCAATCGAAATTTGTTGCGTTGTTTTTTTACTTATTCGTTAAAATGAAGTTTTTTCTCTTTATTCTCTTTATTCTACTTTTAACCTTTTGATGATTGAACAATTTTTTTTATAATATCATTGTTAAAGGGTAAAGATATGGTGACGACGACGACAACTACCGATTTCTAAATACTACACATAAAACCACGTACGTTCTCGTAAAAATGATTTTTTATCGTTCGTTGAACGAAAAATACAAGAAAAGATAAAAATATATTTTTACGATAATCCTTGAAATTGTATAAATATAAATATAAATATATTAATAATACGATTTTGGATATTGTAAGATGGCGTAACATAGAATTTTGAGTTCGTTGATTGTAACGGATAAGAAAAAAGAAAAGAAAAAAAAAGCAAAGGATAGAAAAGAGGAAGTTGTCGTTGTGTTATAAAATATTTAGATGTTTGATCGATCTATTATAGATAAAATTGAAAAAAATTGCGTATTTTGTCTCATTCCGGATCAAAGATACAACGACGGCGTTTGCTTCCATAAAAATTCGAATTGCTTATAAATTTAACGATTCGTCGTTAAATTTAATTCTATTTTAACAAAACAGATTTTGATAAATATTTTTTTTTGTTTAGTTCCTTTTATTATTATAACTTCATTTGTTAAAAAAAAAGTAACTCTTTTTATTTTTGATTTTATTCAGAAAATATCGAATTGTTTGAAGAACTTTGATTACTTTTCAACAAGGAAATATTAGGCTACGTTTTTGTACGTGCTGCATACAAAGTACCTGTCACAGTCAGTAAAAATTATATTTTTATAAAACGTACACATATTATTTTGTACAGAATAATTATTATTGACAGAAAAATAGAGATTCATTCGCATATATTTGGATATGTATATGTATGCATGTATATATATATATATCTATATATTATATATTCGCATAAGTTTTAAAAGTTTAAATAAATAAAATGGATATTTTTCAAGAAACATTTCCCCTTACGATTACTGCCATTTTTTTTCAATATCTTCTTTTACTCTTTTTTTTTCATATATATTTTTCTTTTTAATTTTCAGGATTACAAAAAAATAAAAAAAATAAAAGGAAAAAAAGGAAGAAAAGGAAGAAGCAAAAATGAACAATATTTTATCTCTCGTGAAAATGCTAATTTTCGTTGAGAGAAAAACGTAGTTTTCATGCGAGGGAGGGTATGCACTTTAAACGTGAATTTGCATATTGTCACGCAGTATATGGCGATCGTAGATCGGTCGCCGTTTTGCATTATTTCAAATGCATTTCCTATCGGTGTCCGTCCCCCCAGTCGTTACGATAATAATACTACAGGGTAAAAAACAAAAAATCAACAAACAAACAAACAAACAAATAAACAAACAAAAAAGAAA